ATATATATATATATATATATATATATATATATATATATATATGTGTGTGTGTGTGTGCGTGTATGTATATATATATATATGTGTGTATATGTATGTATACAGATTTTTTTACTATTTACGCACGGCTATAGTTTTGCATTGGAGTGACATTGGTAGTTGGGTCTGCTTCCTTACATCTGTAACATTAGATGCAATGAGGTATTTATATATATATATATGTGTGTGTGTGTGTGTGTGTATGTGTATATATATATATATGTGTGTATATGTATGTATACAGATTTTTTTACTATTTACGCACGGCTATAGTTTTGCATTGGAGTGACATTGGTAGTTGGGTCTGCTTCCTTACATCTGTAACATTAGATGCAATCTATGAGGTATTTGGAGACACTGAAAATAAAAAAATTCGTCTTCCAGTAAAAAATACATGTATTGTGCATTTATGAACATCTCACTGTGTTATTGCAGAAAAAAATATTTTATAACGTGATCATTTAAGGTGTCTCTTTTGATTATCCCAAGGTACCCCACGCACAAGAAAGAAGAGATGTCCATACTCCAAGTTTCAAATTCGTGAACTGGAACGAGAATTTTTCTTTAACGTTTACATCAACAAGGAGAAAAGGCTGCAGCTGTCCAGAATGTTAAACCTTACTGACAGACAAGTCAAAATATGGTTTCAAAATCGTAGAATGAAAGAAAAGAAATTAAGCAGAGATCGCCTGCAGTATTTCTCTGGGAATCCGTTGTTGTAATTGTTGAAATGGCGTTGCCTTTTATTTAATATCTCTGCAAAATAAAATTATGTATATTTAAATATGCCCATCAATCTAATTAAATAGAAAATGTTTTTGTTAAGGCCAACAACAGTACTAAAAAATAGACTTGTTTGAAGGGAAACAGGATTGTAATGGCTGAGGGTGGGAACAGAGAATGAAAATTAGCTTAATGTCAAATTATACCGGCATTTCTAGTTTGTGATTCACAAACTAAAACGTACACCTCACAAAGTTTAAAAAAAAAATGTATGTGACACGTCTTTTAAGTGAAATGTTTAAAGTCTTTACTTTGAAAATGATCACGAAATAGCCTACTATAATATATTATAGAATTATACCCTCTATCATTTTATGGTTGTATATATGTACATTAAAACACACAGTCGACTCTGGTTCGAATCTGGAGATGTCATACTTTTTTATGTTTTCACCATTTAGAACTGTGACTTGTACAATCTGTAATATTGTATTCCTTGTACAGAGATTATGCATTGTGCATTCGTGAATGTAAATATAATGTTATTTTGAGTATCCTCACCATATCCCTGCTGCTATTTTTCTTTACATTGCCTTTGCAGCCTTGTGATCTTTGTCGTTCGATTCTTTAAATTATTTGCTGTACGCCCAAAGTTCTCATTTATTTCGGAGGAATAGCTCAGCGATCTGATTTGGCCTGTGTACTACATATTAATCAAAAATAAACACAAATAAAGGTAAACTGTTATGTCAATTGTGACTTGATTTTTTAAAAAAAATCATAAGGTAGTCTATGGTGAAGTAAACATTGTGAATGTGTATAACAACACTGCAGTGAAAACAGAGATCTAAAAGAAGATATAATAAACTGACCACTGCCAAGTAATGAAAACTTTCTTTCTCTCTCTCTTGCTCCATCTCTCCATTCGTCGTCTCCCTCTCACGCGTTAAAGTCTATCAATGTTAAGCTATTGTTGTTTTGCAATGAAAACTGGCGAATAAATGTTTAATATTTAGAACTGTGTTAGCCGAATTTAAGGAATGTCAACTAAAACTATTTATCAGTAGATTTGATAAATAGTTTTATCAATATAAAAAATAATAATTAGAACAATGACCAAGAAATTTAGAGAGCATTTCGGTAACGTCTTTTAGTACCTTCTAAATGGAATCGCCACTCTTGTAGTCTAGACACTGCAATAAAGCCAGGGCCCTAAATTGCCTTTTTTCCGACTTAATTGCACCGTCTGTTCGAGAGGAATGGTGATCACTTCCGCAGTAAATAGTAAACAAGAAAGTCCGGCTGCTTGGACAAAAACTGGAACATTTAAAAATGAACACGTATTGCCTATAGGTGCAAGAAACCTATCAAATGATATCGCCGAGTGTAGTCCGTTCACATGGAATCGTCTCTTCAGAAAAAGCGGAGTTGCGCGCATCTTACATTCTAAGAGATAAACAGAACAGAAGGGAGATATTTTTTGCAGTGTATGCTCACAGGGGTGATGGTATTGCATGTTGTCCCCATGTGCAGAATTATGTGATCACGCTACACGAATTTTGTCACAACATGTGGGCTCATAAGGCGTGCAAGTATGCTGTTGACACTTATGCGTATGAAGGAAAATATATAATTAAAAGTTGTCTTTGAACTTCAATAACGTCAAGGCCTTCACCTTTAACCTATTGCAATAAAGTGGAATCAAGGAGCCCCTTTTGTCAGGAAACGTGGTGAACAGAACAGAACAGAACCAATCGCAAGTGGGAAAGGACCAATGAATGCCTAAGAAGTAACACTTTGACCTCTCGCATTAAACTACAGCAGGTAACTTTTCCAGTTTTAGCACTCCCATTAAATACACTTTATTGTGTCTGTAAAATGTAATATTTTCATGCATGAAATATTTTATGACATTTTGGCATGTTCTTGGCCATTTAAGCTTGCTTGGTTGTGACTTTTCCCGGGTAACAGGAAATAGATTTCTGACAGATTTAAAACAGAGATCGGAGTATATATGCATCGATGCTCGAATAGAATAGAAATGGAATAGATGCTCGAATAGAAAACGAAGGGGAGGTCCTTGCGGTCTGAATTAGTGTACTGATTTATTGCCGAGAGTTAAACACAGTTAACTGAATTAAAACGCATCACATGCGTTCCTTTGTAAATTCCGAATGTAAAGACTTGTTACGTTTGTGTGTGTGTGTGTGTGTGTGATGTGTTAGTGCAGCGGATTCATTGCCACTGATCTTTACTTGTAGAACTGTGGGAGAGAAATGGCGGGTGGGAAGGCGGAGGGGGGCATAGGGATCGGCTGGAAGGCTTGTCTTCTTGTCACACCCACCAACCTTGGCCCTGGCTCAGTGACGTAGTTAATTAGCTGAATTCCTTTTTCTTGAGTCGTCACACTGAGGGACAGGAACTTGGAAGGTCCACCTATCAAACGCCGGAGATACTGTCGCCACCAAATCAAAGCAATCAGCGCGTAGACTTATGAACAATGGCCATAAAATCAGCATTTCTTGCCGTGGGGTTGATTTGATTTATAAATGCGGCTTTCCTAAACAAATTGTTTGTTTGTTTGTTGCAAGACGTTTATCATTATGTGGCTATCGTATTTATTCCGAATAGATAGGCTATAATAGTATCTCCAAAACGGAAAACAAGGGCGGAATGGACTACCCGATCTTATGAAAGTGCGTATCAATACCACGATTTTCTGTTTCTATTTGGCGTACTATTTATACGCAGAAATTGACTTTGGTGTGCATATGATAAGCAATGGTTAGGATTAGGGGTATGGGCTATGTGCGTATTAGCCTATATGTATGCCAAAACTGCGTATCATATGCACGCCAAGAAATTGCTTATCAGCTCTTAGCTGTCAACAAGTAAAATGGCGGAGGCTTCAGAGTCATCAACATAAAGATTATGGACTTGGATGTAAATACAACCTGGATTTCATTTTTACGTATAAGTCACCATAATTCAATAGAACATTTTCGCAGTATCTGTTAAAAACAAGATTTACAAGGTTAATTGTCCCATTCGGCAAATAATTCTCACTATTCCAATAACATAAAAAATGCAAATCAGACTTTCTTTTTTTTTTGCATCAGATTTGATAAAATATTGGAATGTTGGAAGTGACAAAACATACAGTTTCCAGTGTGTGTGGTCTGAAAGATTCGGTGTTGTTCATTGTTGTTTGTACTTCATGCTGTACAGTTGCGGACTTTGGACAGAGTCTATTAACACATCTCACTTCCGCACTCCTGTATGCGATGAAAAGCTGTAAATACCCGTAAATCGCCACTGGTGCCCACTAGTCATTTGTATGATCTTTCGTGATATTAAAATTTAATATTATGCTGATGTGCGATTACCACTCTCTGATTTATAAATGTCTTTAAAACGATACATGCATCAACCATAAATTTCCATAGACCTCTGCGGGTGGACGCGGGTTTGGTGAAGGGAAACGGTTAAAAAGTGGGTCGCTTTAAATTGGAAATATGTTTTATGGTGGTTCAAGTTCCCCAAAAGGCACGGAACACCCATCGAATCCCCTGCACTGTTTTTACTCGTTTCAATATTTGTGTTTATATTGTGTTTGTATTGTTGTGTTGTGTTTATATTGTTTGTATTGTATTTATATTGTCACAATATATTGCGTTTCAGACTTACGTAGAGGCCTACGCGGTTAAACTGGACGTCTTGTGTTTCACTTTTCAAAGACGTTTTGACGACTTTTCTTTATTCTTTTCAGTGCAATTTTAGCACAATTTATATCACAGTGCATGTAACGACTCTTAAAAAATAATCAGAAATCAATACCTGTTAAAAAAAATATATATTGGCAGGGAAAACATCCGTCGAGAAGAACCAAATATAAAAACGTCTAATTATTATAAAAGATAGGAATATAAATATACGGTTATGAAAAAGCTGGTATCCATAATTTTTTATTATTTATTTTGTTATGTTTTACAGGCTACACACTTTTTTTGTTTTGTGCAATTAACGCGATTGTGGTGCAATTCAATATTCTGTGTGATAGATCTTTGATCCCCCAATGAAAAGGGAATTAGCTTTCTCTGCTTAACCGTAACAGCTGCAGACTTTCAATGGTATCCCAAATTTCACTCAAAGAGAAGGGAATGTTTTAAAAATATACTTTTCATGTATATTTTCAAGCCTTTTCATGTTTTCTTTTCGGCATGCACACGGACAAACAGAGAAATAGGTAATTCAAACAGAGTAAGATTGCACCAGTTTGTTTTTAGTTTTATTTGTTGCAATTTTGATTTGTTGTTGTTGTAGTTTTCATCCTATGAAATAAATTGCTTTTGAAATAAGAAACAAAAGACCAGTTGATAGCACGCTTTTTATTTACATTAAGAGACATGACAGCCTTTAATTCAACAGTAAGTAAATACACTTTAATAATACATGCACAAGAATTTGCTCAAAAACGTACTTTCGCAATAAAAAATAAAATCCTTTCACAATAAAAAAATCCTTACATTTAAAGAATATATTCATCCATAATAATGCATAATGTACAGACATTTTTAATGTTTTCATTGGGCTCTCGTTGTTTCTAGACATATAAATCCCAGCAAAACATTATATTACAGTGAACAATGTTTACTGCTATTTAAATATGTAAATGTAACTTCTGAAATAGGTTTTCATTGTACTCACATCTGGAATCAGAAAATCACTGGGCCATCGTGGGTGGAGAGCATTACCTGTAATTCAATAAGACTCTTAAGCATTTTTGCTTTTAAAATTTCTGGTTCGTATTCAACATTGACCTGATATACTTCTATTTCGTTACACGCTGCAGCATTTTAAGAGAGATACAGATTTTAAATGAGAGACTATAGAAATGTGTGTATATATGTGTGATATAAAAATGTGTGTATATGTGTGTAATATATGTGTGTGTGTGTAGGCCTATATATGCTTTGATAAACACATTTTCAATATTAATCCCTTTGAATAATGTGCATTTCACTTAGAAATAGTTAACGTGTGCATTTAATAATAAAATGTACAATAAAATGTAATATATATATATTACTGAATACTGTAATACAGTAACATGCTTTATTTTGTATATGTATATATATATATATATATATATATTGGTGTACATAACAGATCAGATCCTGTAACTACTGAATAAGAAAATTGTGGGTGAGATCTAAAACCCCCAAATCTTTGTTTTTATTCTATCGTGAAAGTGAATTTGTTTGTCTTAAAAGGCTGAGTGATAGACAAGAGAACAGACCAATCACAACAATCCACCATGTCTCAAGCTGGATCACAGGCGCTGGCCTCGTTGGCCAACAAACACAGAAAAGATCATTCAAGTCCAAGGGGTAATGCAAATATACAAATACAAATTATATAAATTATCGTGAGCAATAGCAAAAATGACCCAAACATAGTACATGAAAATACGTAAGCTTTAAGTTTTTTTCCCCCCCAGTACATTGTGTATGGTCATTCCTCTACCGATTTCGATGCAGCTTGGTAAAACGGCATAATAATGAAACCGTTGAAGACAAAGTGTGTCATTTTACCTTTTCACTATTTTGAAATCTGTACTAAAACCGAAAACCATATTTATGTAGAGCGTTTAAGGAAATATGGTAGGAACCAGAAAAATAAATTCCACCCGTTTTGACAAAAACTTTACAATGGAAAAATTTTCCAAATGGGTTTATATGTATTATATAATCAAAAATGTATAATAAAATTCAACATACTAACTTAATACTCAGTTTTCAGTTTTTATGCAATACTTAAAAGTTTTCATGCTGCTTTTCATTTAGCGTCGAAGTTCACAAATGTATTTATGAACTGTTAATAATCAAAAACACTGCGATCACAACGAAAAATATGCTCTTCTTGATTATTTCTGTATAATTAAAGTACAATTTCAGTTTTTGTTTCAGTTTGGAGATTCTAAATAAACCCTTCCTCGGCTTATGTGATTTTCCTGTATATTTTAAACATTCATGTCAATTTATTACGCAGAAAAAGATAATGGGGGAAACATAATACATAATAACCTCATCTTACAAAGAAAAAATAAAGCAAAGCACCAAATTATAGTATGATATTTAGTAGAAAAATTTGCAGCTAATCCACCTGATGGAATTTGCAATAGAGCAAAATTAACTAAAAATGGATTAAGTAGTGTGTCGTGACAGACAGAAAAATAGACAGAATGTGTCAACAACGTCCCTATTTTATAAAATTGCATGTCCACTTTGAAAAAAGAGACTACATGTACTGTCTTGTAAAAGTGTATATTAACCATTTTTTTTATATTGACTAACCTTGTGATATTTGACTTTAATTTCCAGAAAGTGTTTAATTTACTTCTCTCTCTCTTTCTTTTGCAGACGCACAAGTCACGTAACTACGTATCTGAAGAAAACGATTGTTCTTTGTTCTGTTCTTGGTTTCCTTGTCCGTAAAAATCGGCTAGATGGCGCCATTGCTCCATGCTGTAGCACATAAATTCAACAACTTGACCCCACTGACGTCAAGACGGTCTGGCGCATCAAGGCCACTTTCAAAACCCTATTGGTCTGAAAATCACATGACAAAGCGCCTTGAATCCATAATTATGTTGCTGATATTTTTCGCCCCCCCAAAAGATGTCAGCGTCCTACTGTCCTCGTCCACTTCGGCATAAAGGAGATTGTTTTGAATCAAAAGGAAAACAAGGCAAGTAGCAAAATGTCATGCCCGAACAACGTGGCAGCCAACACATTCCTGATGGACTCGCTGGTGGGACGAACATCTCCTTACAGAGGTGAGAGCTATTCCACTAACTCTGGAATGTATATGCAAACGTCTGCAGAATATGGTTGCTCCATGATGGGTAGTTTTGGTATTGTTGGTACCCCTCTCTCCAAACGGGATGATCTGCAACCGAGTGGGATGCATCTCAGCAGTTACCAGCACTCACATTACCTGTCGCAGCGGGACACTTGGATCGCAGGCTCTAAAACTTACAGAGGTTCACAACCTGTTGCCCAGCCTTTGCACCCTTGCTCGTTTCCAGCCAGTAATGTGAAAGAGGAAGCGATTCCTTGTCTTTACCAGCCTGATATCGACAGCGCTAAAGAGTCCGCTGAGAAATCCACCTACATCCGTCTGGGAGACAATAACAGCCACCCGAATCAAAGCGCCGTCTCCACCCCCGATTATTTCCGACGGAGCCAGGTGTACGCCAGTGAAAAGGGCCACCATGGAGATGAGTTCGGCTCGGACTTTAACCCAATACCCAGAATATCCACGCCTGTTGAAGCACTAGCAGCAGATTCCTATATCAAAAGCAGCAAAGCAAGGCAGGACCCAGAAGACAAGGGAGGGAACACGCAGGAAGACGACATGGATCAGAGACAGACTAGAAACAAGGAGAGTGTCTCAAAAACAGACAGTTGTACTGATGATTCCGAGAGCGAATTGAAAGGTGATAACTAATTCCTTCTCTCTCTCTCTCTCCTCCACCACACACACACACACACACACACACACACATAATAACAGCGCGCTCCCTTCTATGAGGCAACAACGTGTGAAATGACAACCAAGTTGCATGTCAAAATAGAAGACCTTTTAGCTTGTTGCACCGACGACTGCTTAGACCCTGTGTGTATCATAACTATGTATTACAGGCCCACGTGGGTTGTTCGTCTGTTTTGGTTTTTTTACAGAAATGTAGTCAATTAAGCAATATCATGTGTACTTAATATTGAAACGGCGTTTAACATCGTTACAAAAATAAAAATGGGTTTTGGCGTTGATATAAACAGGAACACTCTAGGATTAACGCGCAGTGTTAAAGTGCGCTTTTAAACATCCATGCAAGCATAAACTAAACAAAATAGTCCGTGAAATGTTATTATATTGATTTTTGTATTGCGCTCCATTTGGTTGTTTACAGGCACATTCAGATATACCCGCAATAGTGTAGGGAAGTGAAAATAGCGTTTTCTCCGCATCCCCGTTCAAATGCCAAGATATGCATGTGATTCAAAGTATTTTGTTATTTTTTCATACAGGTTTAAATTAAGAATTAGAAATGTTTACATAATAACTTGATAATATAGGTAAATATTTGAATATAATTTTTTAGACATTGAACGAAAAAAAATAATTGCCGTTTAAATAATTGAAGTTTATATTTAAAATATTGAAAACGTTTAATTAATTGGACATTTTTGCACTTTATTTTGTTATATTGTTTGTTGTAATGTAATGTCAGTAAACCATTTAATTCAAATCTTATGAAAGAAAATTTTAAATCAGTGTGTGGTCCTAAAATAATTAAATAAATACCTGCGGTTTACTAATTGTGTAACTGATATAACTGAGAAATGCGACCAACAATTCTGACAACTTTATTTAGCTTACTAAGCTCTGTTATGCTCACACAAGTAGGCCTAGTTAAAATCTGTCTTTTAAAATGTATCATTCTTATTTCGTGTTCTTGTTTGTTTAATTCCAGTTATTAACATGTTATTAAAATCTACAGTAATAACACACTTAAAGTTGTTTCATCTGAAACAGTTGCGTCTTTTGTTTGAAGTCTTGGTTGATGTTTTGTTAATTTAACAAGATAAAAAAGCCAAAAAATGAAAATAAATGTTTTATATGGTTTTGTTATTTGCATAGTATATTTATCATTATGATTTTTAGAAAAAATAAAACTTTTTTGTTTTGGTAGATGACGTTTCAATTAAAAGTAATTGCAGGCCGATGACTTATAGAGACTAAAATCACACCATTGAAAATGTGAAATTATACGGAAATGTAAAAAAAAAGTACAATAATACATATGCAGATAATAATTAAAAAGGGGTAATCGGCATCACTGCATAGCTTTGATATTGCTAAGAACAAAGCCATTTTAAATTAAACCGTTAGAGAGTGTAGACTGTTAATTACAATAAATTCAGCATAATGTTTATTCTGAAGAACAAAAAATATGAATATGAAAATTTTGTGGGGAAGAAAAACTAAATAATATAGTCAAGCGAGCATTTATAGCGTCACGGTCAGTTCTATGGTCTTGCAATCATACTCCGTGATAACAGTTCTCTCTCTCTCTCTCTCTCTCTCTCTCTCTCTCTCGTTTACTTCTGCAGATGAGGCTAAATTGGAAAAAACAACGGGGAACTGGCTAAAAGCGAAAAGTGGACGAAAGAAGAGATGTCCTTACACAAAGCATCAGACACTTGAGCTGGAGAAGGAGTTCTTGTTCAACATGTACTTGACTCGAGAGCGCCGTCTGGAGATCAGCAAGAGTATCAACCTCACAGACAGACAGGTCAAGATCTGGTTCCAAAACAGAAGGATGAAGCTAAAGAAGCTCAACAGAGAAAGTCGCGTCCGGGAGCTAACAGGCTATAGCTTCAACTGAGCGCTTTAGACAGACAAAGGAAAAATAAGAAATTACATGCGCTCTCTTATCCACACATATACAAATACAAAATAGCAAAGCACTGGTTCATGACTTTTAATGCAAAGGGACTGGAACATCCTGCAGGCAATATTACATTTAGTTTACATCAGAGCCTAATTTATCATTGTTAAATAGACCAGAATAATAATTGTAAATATGCCAGTAGGGTAAGAAAAGGATGCTTGGTGCAAATATTCGTGGCAGATTTGTATTTTTAAAAAACTTAACTCAGAATATATGAACGAGATGTCTTTTTGATGTCTTGGATTAGTTTGTTTGCTGTCAGTGCGCTTGTCCAACAATGCGCGCTCTGTATTTTGCATGCTTTGTTCTTTGACTTGTATTTGTCAATTTGATGCTTAACTCGAGAGGCTGATAAATAAAACAGGGGGTGGGAAAATATAATGTCCTGGTATGTCCTTCCCCTTGCATATTTTCTCCTGTATTATGTTGACAGAGAAATTTTGGGTGAAGACAGGGAAGAGAGTCAGAAAGAGAAAGTGCATAGCACTTTCAGTATGAGAGGGAGACCCATAACGTTGATTTAAATATTATCCAGGTGACCACAGTAAGTCAAGGTCATAAAATTGTAATGTCATGACGGTCCTGGAAAGCGCTGGGGGTGGATTTTATGATCTGCAAATATAATGTGCTGCTGCAGTAAAGATGCATTAAAAGGTGAGTGGAGGAGGGCTAATTCACATACTCGGAACTGCAATGTGCTGGCCTCACTGACGCGCTCTGCGGTCTGCCTGGCTGTTTTGGAACCAGGAACCTTTCATTATGGAGTAATGGAACGCTATGATACGATGGACTGAACACGGAGGAATCCAAGACCTACAGCGGCGGTGAATGAATGAGTGGATCCTATGAGATACGTTAATCAGACCGTGTGCAGAAGGTTCAAGGTAGGATAACGTTTTCCTTATTTTTTATTGATTGAGCTCGAGGGAAGCTATTCTGGATACCCTCAAGCGCTGACATGGATAACAGCTTTGATTTGAACGAATTTCTTGAGATGTGTACTTTGCTCAGTGCTTCTGACAGTTGTTGATAAGAGAGTGCTGTTGTCAATAATTGCGCCCCATCTCCCAAGCACAAGTTAAAGTTGTGGAGATCTACTTATACTGACATAATGTGTTATAAATAAATATCAGCTATTTGCAGTCCCTCTGAAGGACAATTATTCTCTTTTTACTACAATTTTATATTTAACTGGATAATTTTCTTGGTCTGCAAAAAGCCACAGGAAACTCTTTTGTCAGTCTCATCCTTGTTGAAGGTCCACTCATTTGCATGCTACTAATTTGTCAGTGTGTCTCTCTGAATTGTAGACATTTTGTGTTAGAAATAGCAATACTGGTTGATAGAAGTGTCATTTGGTGTTCATTTTGGTGTCAATTCTTAAAATTACCCAAAAGCTCTATGGCCTTTCAGGCATACTAGAACTATTACAAACGAAGTTTGATTAAATTAAAGCTCGAGGCTGTGAGGAATGGAATAAAATCCTTACTTATCTTTGCAGAGTTTGTTGTTTGTCTCCTCCTGTGGATAACGCCGTTACGCACGGCTGGTGCGTGGTTTAGGTAGTTTCATGTTGTTGGGATTGGCTTCCTGGCTCGACAACAAGAAACTGCCTTGATTACGTCAGTTCGTCTTCATCAAGGGCGACAATTGCCGTTAAATTACACCCTGTGCAATGAAGTTTCCGCAAATGGCATTGTAAATGAACTGAACGATTATAGCCACAGCGGGCTCTTTTTCTCCTTTGCTCGCCTTTATGTGTCGGGCTGTAAAAGAGAATTTAGACTCTCAGAGGGAGAAAGGAGTGTTAACATCATGGGGCAAACTTAGTATGTTCCTTATTATTGCTCATTCTTTTATTCCAAGCTATGGCCAAAAGTGTTTTAGCCACTTTTTAACATTAGGAATTATAGTGACTGAGGTGGTAGTAAGAAATTGCAGTCTCTGGGGGGGAAAAATTAAATAAATAAAAATTATGGACTGACGGACGGCTATAAGAACAGGAAAAAAAATATATATATAACTGTTAATTTTAAATTGGTCAGCTATGAATTTATCCTTTCCATATAGCCAATTCCACGTGCGTTTGCGTGTGTATGAGACTAAACACTTTTACAAATGTAATTAAACTTGTCTGGCTTTGATGTTGTACTCTTAGAAACCTGACAAATATAAAATGAAACTCTTCATATTTGTTTTGAAGTGCTACGCTACTTTTCAATAACGTGGGCCAACCACACACTTTTTTTAACCTGTAAACCGTTCAATAGCCGGTAAACGGTTCAACGGTCCTGGCTCAAATAGTAAAACTGGATTTGTAAAATCGGTTTAAACTAATTATATTTACATGTCAGCAACATGAACAGTAGCAGTGGTAGTAACAGCACATTAAAAAGCGTTGCCACAACAGACTTACTGTGGCTAGTATCCAAGGCAGACAATGTTTGGCCCTGTAGATTCTGTACACTATAAACAGTGAACCTGTGTGGCTGAGTTCACTGAGGAGATTTTTCTACCTTATCAGACCTTAAAAAAATGAGTTAGTGTAACCTAATGTATGTTTATTCTATATATTATTCTGTAGGCCTTTATCAACATAATAATGCCGACTTGAATAAAACTTTTTTATATACACACTGTTTTGCTGTAATTTATACTCGGCACATTAAATTATCTAAATTCTGCAATCATTTCTACACTTAATTTTATTAATTAGTAATACATTTTAGTATAAGATAGCCTACTTACACAGAAAAGCAGAGATAGAGAACAATATTTTTAGGTTATAGTTACAGTGCCTTTGTTTATTTTGTTTCTTTTTTATTATTAGTTAGGTGCAGTGCGGAATATGTATCTTCAGATGTTTTTAAATATAAATATGAATTTTTTTTGAATATATATATATATATATTTTTTTTTAAATCAGTCTAAATCTGTGGGTTTGGGGTTACCCCACATTAAGCGGGGAACAACAGTGTTTGTGTTATGATGTTATATACACTGTACAGTAGTAAGGACACAGTGCCTTCTAAAACCATATCAGCTGTATAATATGTAGAAATAATAAGCTAATTTGTTTAAGATAAAGTTTTTGGTAAAGTTGTTTGTTGTAAAGTGCCTCATCAGAGACTTGTCCTTTTTTCCTGGGAGAGTAGACTTTGGATTTCACCATATATGCTTGTTTTCTTAACCCCCTCCCCTCCCTTCAGCTGTTTTGCGACGGGAAGAGACAGTCTGGAATCCAAAGTCATTTTCATTCAGTTGAGTGAATGGGGTTCTCCTCTGGAATGCGTCACCAACAAAGAGTTTACAGCACGCGTAATAGCCCCACAGGACACTGCCGCCTAGCATGCGGATATAGCGGCAATATCCTCAAATAGCCTAAGGATTGGTGGACATCAAAACACCTTCTTCTGCTTAGTATATATATATATATATATAAGTTGGAATGTTTGCTTGCGTTCGGAAGCATATAGTACTATTTCCAAACGTGTGGCGCATTAGGCCTATCTGTATAGCATTAGCAATGGTCTATCCCTTGTTTGGTGCAGACCTTTATATGTAAGCATGTGAATGATTGCTGGTTAGTTTTCAGTGGGTTTGAATGAGGATAGTTTGACGGCTGTACTGTGGCGAGATATTTTTACGTTGTTCTTTGATTTGAGCTATTTTGCTTTACTGTTTTAGTTTGTATTTTCAGAGAACAAACCTGAAGGGACTTTTCAGCACACGTGGTTATTTTAAACCATATTTATCGTTTCAAATTAATCACGTTTTGTTATGTAGCTATATTGCGTTCATGCTGGATCACATTTCGCTCTCTGTTTACACTGAATTTAGTTTACGCGTTTGTATGGAACCAAGTTTGATTGCAGCTAGACCTAAATAAAAAAAGGGTTTCTAATCTAAAGCAGGTTACTTTGCTAAATAAAAGTTTTTTACTAGGCCATCTGTTCAGTGCAGTTTTTTTTAACACAGTGCTATGTATTTTAATGTATATGTTTTAAATGTTTTATAAATCTTAGCTGGTGTTTTTACTTGGACATGACAAGTAACTCATTAGGCTATATTAATTCAGCTCACTTATTTGATTGAAATTTTAAACCTTTGCACTATTGCTGTATTTCTGTTTATGTCGCCCAAGGCCGCAAGTGTGTGATTATTCAACTGTTTTTTGTCCAATAAATACAAATATATCTAAACATAAAATACTAAAAATGACAAAATATTTATATGGTTTCTTTTAATAAACGTTTTATAAATCTTAACTGGTGTTTTTACTTGGACATGACAAGTAACTCATTAGGCTATATTAATTCAGCTCACTTATTTGATTGAAATTTTAAACCTTTGCACTATTGCTGTATTTCTGTTTATGTCGCCCAAGGCAGCAAGCAATAATATGTTGTTCTAAAATGATACTGTGCCTATCACTTGTGATTATTCAACTGTTTTTTGTCCAATAAATACAAATATATCTAAACATAAAATACTAAAAATGACAAAATATTTATATGGTTTCTTTTAATTAGACATGAAATCAACATGACAAATTTGCTAAAAACAGAAATGTTTGTTTAATTTAATATATATTTAAATGAAGGCATTAAAGGAAACGGTATAGTGCATTATTATGTTCACGTTGAGCATGGCACGCTGAAGGCTAAAATAAAATACAGCTAATAATATACAGTAAAATAAAATAAAACACGTTGTACAGGACCTTATATTGTTTAACACATAACATAATGAAATTATGTGGAATGATTTTGGATTGATTCATTCCAATCTTCTGGACTGATACCCATACGACATCTGTATTTTAACACCGTATTGCCTTTTTAGTAATGCGTACTTAAATGCTAGTAAAGTATAGTAATGCTAGTAATGTGAGTCTAGGTATACTGCGAGATGTAAACATTCCTCATTATTCTTCATACCAAAAATAAATAAATAATGATATTGCTTGAAATAAATTCAGAAAAATTAAAATATTTAAGAAAATATTAATTTTAACCTGCTCCTGACTTTTAGGTGTTTACGTGTTTTTTTTAGGTATTTTACAACATCAGTATTAAAACAAATACTGAAGTCGATCGCAGAGTAGCCTAATTTTTTATAACAGACAGGAAGCTGGAGATTAATGTTGATATATTCCCGTAAATCAGAGTGCATTAGCAATGATGCTG